AGTCAGGATCTGGCCGTGCGTGTGGGAGGCAGCACGGATTCTGCCAAACACCGGGAGAACTGTGGCCACTGCAAGCCATGGCACAGGTGATCCTGGTTTACAGTTTATGAAGAGCAGCCGGTGATCTCAGATACCTTTTTTGGGGCAGGAATCTGTAATTTCAGCCACGGAAGTCAGGTGAACCCATCTGTGAATAACAGCAGGGGAAAGCACCTCTCCTGCCCTGCGGCAGACTGTCCCGAGCCACACACAGGGCCTGAGCAAGAATGATCAGCTGAACAAACTCCCAGCAGTTTTCTGAAACTTCTTTATTTGTTTTGAAGGGGAAGTGCTTTGCTGCTGCTGGGCTTGTTGCTGTTGTTTTGTGGCCATTGAGGGGCTGTTAAACTCCGTGCAGTAGGGTGTTTGCTAAATAAATGAGCCTCTGCAATCCATTTCCCACATTGACTCTTGAGTAGCTGGGGGGAGAGAAGGGCAGTCCAAAATAAAGGTGGTAAAAGATGAATATGCATTAGTGAGTGAAGGAGTGAGTGGGACTGGTGGTTCTCATCCCTGGTACAATCAGGCCATAAGCCCTGCTGTTGCACGTCTCAGGAGGAGGGTGAGTGGCCTTGCTGTCTGGCACCCAAAGATGCCTTGGGGTGCGCGTTTCTTCACAATCCAATTTTCCAGAGACTGCGCCGCAAGAGAGGATGCTGGCATCCTCTCCTTCCCTAGTCATTCTGCGTTGGGCCAGTATACGGACACTGAAGTGGCACATAGAAGGAAACTCCACGTAACGAGCTCCAGCTGCATTTGTGAACCTTCCTGGTGGGTCCCAGCCAGCTGCAGCCCCTTTCCTGTCTAGGGGTGCCCACCTGGAGCTGCAGGGCCCCGAGGCACAGCACTGGGGAGCTGCTTACCTTCACGCCTGGCCCCGGAGGCTGGGGCTGTGCCGTGGGAGGCGGGAAGCATCTCCAGGGCTCCTCGGAGGAACAGACGGCAGACCTTGCCTACAGCTCCTCTCTCCCTTGCCTTAGCGTCCCGTCTCCATGCTCCCTCTCCCCAAAAGGCAACCGGGAGGTGGTTAATGCCAGGGTGCCAGGGGGAATGGGATTTTCAGGCATAAAGCCTGGGGCACTCACAGACCTCTGGGGATAAACCCCCGATAAAACCCCGATATCACCTCCTCCTGTGACTGCCACTGCAGCTCGGGCTGCGCAGCGCGGCTCACTCGTGCCCCCCAGTGCCCACGCGAGACACGTGTCCGTGTGGGAGCAGAGCAAGGAGGCGGCCGGTGCTTGCGGGGTGACCCCGGCCATGGGGTGTTTCGTTCGGAGGTGCTGGTGGGAGGCCGGCGCCCCATCTCCCTGCACGGCATCACTTGCTCTCACAGCCCTTTCCAAAAAGGCGAGGGGTTAAAAGCCACCCAGGCTCTTCACTGACATGACAGACCTTGAAAGGCCCCTCAGATTTTTCACCTGTTGGCAGTCTCTCCTGAAATCCACACCTTCCCCAATCCTTTCACCCCATGACTGCTGCTGACAGTTGATCAAAGTCTTTTTTGCATGCTCTGATGGTACAAAGATTAAAACTGCTTTCAAGTACATACCAAGCCCATCCCCATTAGAAATCATTCCTCAGAAACAGGTCTGCAAAGATGCCTGGATGTTCAGGCCGTCAGGGTTCAGGAGAGCACCCTTCTTCTCCTTGCTCTCCTCCTGCTGCACATGGTACCACCGTTCAGCAAACTGCACTGCACCGTGGACGCTGTGGAAAGCCAGGTGACCACCACTGTCTGTCTCGCCAGCCCAGCCTCCCTCCCGGAGCCTGTGGCGGATGGAAGGGTTGCAGCTGGCCAGGAGCACCTGGACACCAATCTCCTTGTAGTCATGATGTATCTCCTTTAGCACGGAAAAACCCACAGTATCTACAAACTGCATTGCCCCACAGTCAAGGATTAAGGTGTGCATATTTATAGAGGGAGGACAGGCATCTGCTGGAGGCTTCTCAGACCTTTTCTTGGCAGGTTTCAGGCAGCCAAACCTGGTGCCAAAAAAGCTCCTGCTGTTGCCTGTGTCTGCATTTGCCTCAGCTTCCACCCTCTGATGCTTAGCAGCCAGCAGGATAGGATTTACCCCAGTTTTCTGGTAGAGAACAGTCTTGAAATAGTCCTTGTTGTCATAGTAGAGGGATGACTCAAAGAGGAAGATTTTGATGTTGGCAATACTGCTGAGCTGCTTGTAAGTAAGTGGACTGGTCCTCACAGATTTCCGTGTTGCTGACCTTGCCCAGGAGCATGGCCCTGGGTCTCTGCATGCGGAAGATGATGCAGAGCAGAGTGAAGAAGACGCCCACAAGGAGCCCAATATCTGTGGTGATCAGTGTGGAGGACAGCATGGTTGTCCACCACACCACCATGTCCAGCTTGCTGAGACGCCACATGTGGGGCATGTCATGGACCTTCCTCAGACGTCCCCGCAGGTTGACAATGGTGACCACCTCCAGGATGGAGGTCTGCAGCAAGTAGAAGAGCGGGGCGATCCACAGCAGCACTAGCAGCAGCACCAGGGAGGTGACCAGGCTGGAGACCTGAGTCTGAGTCCCTATGGACTCCTTCAGCAGAGTCTTGGTCAGGCCTGCAGAGCTGGCAAAGTAGTAGAAGAAAGAAGGGATCAGGTTGTACATGCCAATAGCAATCATCTCTTGCTTGGCACGGACAGCGTAGCCATGCTTTTTGCCAAAGATTGCCGCCAGGGAGACAGTCATGGCAAAGCCAGTAACAGCAATGGGCACAGCATCAACTGCCAGGCTGGAAAACAGGTTTATACCTGGTAGAGTGGGTTTCCTGAAACCAGTGGGGATATACTCACAAACAGCAGACTTGTATCACTCTTCGAAGTTAAAGTAGTAAGACATTACTGTGGCTACAATGACCACCAGCAAGCTCTATGGGGAATGGGGCCTTCATCTTCTCCTTATACCAGTCATTGATCTCTTTGACAGGCGCTATAATGGCCAAAGCAACCAGGCTGGTGACCAGGTCACAGATGTTGGTGTTCTGGATATATCTGAAAAGGTCAATCCATGCCAGGATGAAGGACCCCACCCCTTCGTGATGAGGTATTTTCAGTCCCAGGAGATACTTCATCTGGGAGGTGATAATGGTGAGGCTGGAGCCAGTCATAAAGCCACCGAGAAGAGGTTCAGACAGGTAGACAGCCACAAAGCCCAGCTGTAAACCCCCCAGCAGGATCTGAAAAGCAAGTCAGACATACCTTTACCATCAATGAAAAGGGCTGGGTGAGGTGGCTGGCAATTTATGTCAGTTTGCTTCCACTTTAGCAGCTCTGGCTATTCTGTCTGCTGAGCATTCAGGGTGAGGCAGAGGACTTTGTCTTCAGTAGTTAATCTGGGGTATGGAAAACTAGAGAGCTATTTATAAGACTGGTCTGTGGCTAGAGATGCCATACAAAGAAGCCTACAAGGTCCCTGCTGCTGTCCCCTTACAAGCAGTAAGCGTGCATAGCTAACACTGAAATTCCAGGCAGCAGCCGCATTACAGTGGCTGCGAGTATCACTCGGTGGCATAAAACCAGTGCGATGCACTGAATTGTAGTTGTCCCAGTGAAAGAGCCCGAAGTTGCTCAGTGGCAGCTAGGCCCAGGCAGTGGGGACATTGCCAGGGAGCACGGCCTTAGAATCACAGAATCATAGAATCATTAAGGTTGGAAAAGACCAAGCCCCTGCTGATGGCAGGGTCCTTGAGGGCTGTTCTTGCCAGCCCCAAACCTACTCGAACCTGCACCAGGATCCAGCCCAGCTCCAGGACCAGGGTGGTGGGGAGGTGGTTCGCTGTTCCCTCTCCTCCCTTGCTGTGTCTGATCCTAAAGGATGTTCCAGACACATCCAACGACCTGGCCTATCACATGGGGGGAACAAAACCCCACATTCAGCCATGATTGGGGGTTTCTAAATCACTACATTTGATTCAAGGGTGTCAGGATCTAGTCATGTCAAGAAAGTTTTCTCATGACTTGTTAAGTGTGAATACAGACTGGTGCATAGAGATCTTTAGCTCAGAGAAGTTCCTAGCAGGGAAAGGACAGAGAGGAAACAGCACAACAGCGAATATTTTTACCTGGTAAAGACCAACCAGAAAGCTGAAGGAAAGGGTCACAGTGATGGCGTAGCAGCTGCTGTCACAGGCACCCGTCCCGTTACTGAAGGAGGTTGAGTTGCCCACCAGCGAAGAGCCAGCATTGCTGTCACTGAACCCTGCTAGCAGGAGGTGCCGGTTCACAGACTGCCCAGTCATCAGGCACAGGACGCCAAAGGAGCCCACGAAGTTATGGCGTGACATGGCCATAGTGACATAGATGATATTGCAGAAGAAGGTGGTGTAGATTCCGTAGATGGGATACTGGTTGGCTAAGAGGGAGTAGGAGATGGACTGAGGGATGGCAGCTATCTCCACTAGGAGCCCATATATGACATCTCCAAGCAATTGCGTCTTGACGTTGTAATGGGGAAGCCAGTCCAGCACTGGGAACAGCCCACAGAAGGTGATGATGGTTTGATGATTGCATGTGCAGACCTCTGGCTTTCTTTAGGATGACATCCTTGGTGCTGAAGTCTGTGGGCTCATACTCCTCCAATTTGACATGTATAAAATTGGCAGAGCTCTCTTCTGGCATTAGGGAGCCCAGTGCGTCTTTGCTCTGTCCTGGCTTCTGGCTTCACGTATCCTCCATTGCACCAGAAGCTACAGTGGGAGAGCAGGCAGCCATGACATGTTGCAGTCATGTACATCATGTGTTTTGCTTAGCTCCAGAGCTCATGCAGGTTGCATGGATAAATGAGTAACAGAAAATAACAAATCAAACAGAAAAGCACCTTCCTGTGGTGCCAGCTGATTTGTTTGTTTTCACTTATGGACCTGATTAACCACAACCCTGAGACCATGGTTTAAATGGCATTCACAGTGGCACAGATGCCCACATCAGGGACAGAGCTACAGACCCCTGTGCTCCTTCCTAACATACCTCTTGTTTTGAAACAGGACAGCAGAATGGGTTAAGATCAGACAATATTATTTCACTGAAACTAAAACTTCTTCAGGAACCCTGTGTTTCTTGATGACACTTCCACTTAAGTAAAAACTGTTTTGAAAATGTTGGTATATTCCAAGTGATACTTTAGCAATGTAACACAGGGGTAAGGGAGGTAATTTGCAAAATAACTTTTCCTTTAACATTTCCAAATTTTAAATGACATTGTTGGCTTTCATCAAACACCCCCATCACAGGGCCTCCTATCTGCAGAATGAAAGCATCCTCCTTTTTCAGTCTGGTTAAGTAACATACCAACTTTCCAGAGCTACTCCATGTTTTTCAGCCAAAATGCAGCTGCAATGAAACATTCCTTTTGATCAAAACTGAACAATACACACGGAGAAAAATCTCCTGAGAGGAGACCTTAGAGTGGCTGCAGTTTGGAAATTGAACCAGGATGATGAGAAGTCCCATTCCCTTGCCCTACGGGTTTGTTTCACATCACGAGTCCCAACCCAAATCTCCTACCTCTGGCTGCAAGGAGATACATGGGGTGCTTTCTCACTACCTGGGGCTTCTCCCCTGTGGACAGACCTGTCTCCTCACCTCACAGAGCACAGTGAACAGAGAAAGCATGAGACGAACAACTGCAAACCTGTTCCCTTCGCCTTCCTTCTGGACCATGTGCTGCTCCCCTTGAGAAGAGATCCGAGTTACTCAGCCAAGCGATCGGCCCTTTTATCTCGCTCCAGCCGATGAAGATGGTGCGGCCAGCCACACAGAGCTGTATTTTGAAAACAAACATTGTTCTGGGACAGTATTTTTGATGAAAACTTGTTCTGGCCACTAGGAATGATTGGAGGGGTTTAGAGAACTGCTCCTGCCAGGTAACAGTATTGCTGGTATCTGGAAATGTGTTTGCTAAACAAGGGGAACGATGCAAAGAAATCATCCTGCATGTGCTATTCCTCTGCCCCTCCCTGAACCGAGAGCGCATTGCTGCCCGAGTCCTGCCGGGCTTCTCCGCTCAGGTTTTCATCTATTCTGGACAAGCTTTTGTTCCAAAAAACAATCAGAAAGCAAGCACTTGTTCCAGAATGACTTTTCTGTCCTGGTAGTTTTTCTTCCGGCGTGCTGCCGCGCGCCTCCGCCCGGCTGCGCTGCGCTCACCCGCTTCCCTCGAGCCAGGACGCCGGGCTTCGCTGGGGCTTTGTACACAGGTCTGCGCTGACGGCAAAGGCGTGATGACACAGGTTATTTCTAGGTAGATAGAAGAACTCGAGGTGTGTCAAATTTGCACGATCCACATTTTGTGCATGCCTTTTAGAGACCATAGCACAAATAGCAAGGGATTTTGCTTTGCAGAAGTAAGCACAATTAGGTAAAGTGCAGGGTTGCATTTCTTTTGTAGGTAAAGGTGAACAACTGCATTAGTGGACAGGAAAAAAGGTAAGGTCTCATCATCCTGAATTGAAACAGCAGCTTCATAAATACCAGCTGTAACTGTTCTGCCCTTGTGATCCCTGCCAACAACCTACATCAGACCTCCCTGCTCACACCCCACTCACCTCATTCTCCACTCTTTCTTTTCCATCTCTTCTATCGACCTAGTCTCTCAGAGTGGATGCGCCATCGCCCCGTGCAGGAGTAGGACAAACACCTGACAGTCAGGCAGCTTGGCTCCTGCCTCTGCTCCTGGCACTGACTGTGTGCTGGGCTTGGGGAGGGGGCTGAGAGCTGATGGCATTTGCAGAGGCAGTGGGGGGTATGGACAGATGACATTTTCACATTTTGACTTAGATGCTGGGGAGACACCCTGAGGGAAGAGAAGGGGAAGATCAGAACCACTGAGCTACATTTATCTCATCAGTGGAAGTCTGTATCACAGCAATTAGAAATAAATAAGAAACATCAGTGCTCTCTGGCAGCAAGAAAAAATGAGAGCACATGGTAGGGAAGACAGCTGCTCAACATATTTACCTTTTTATATGAATTCTTTATTCTATGCCATTCCTCCACAGCTCATGTATTTTCAGGTACATCTGTTGATAGCTCCCCTTTCCCTTCCCCTTCTTTCAGGAATGGACTGTATCCTTCCCTTGGCTTGTCATTCCTCCTTGTCCTTAACAGATGATCCCTTCTTATGCTTGATAATCCTTCCTAGTTACAGCTCATGTTGTGTCTTGGCCTGTCTGATGGTGTCTCTACTCACTCATTTTCCTTTTCTGTCTTATTCCTTAGCAAATGACCCAAATTTCCATTTTCTGTATGATTCCTTCATCTTGAAATTCAGTCACTGAAGAACTGGCGAGTCGGTCATTGAAGAGCTGGCCAGACTGGTCTTTTAAGTCAGCTTGTTTGTTGGGATGAAACACATCTGAGCACAATCCATCTTTGGGTTTTGGTCTTATTTAGGAAGCATTCATTTCCAGTTCTGGATCTCCAATCTGTCCACCGTGAAAATGGGACAAAGTACTTCCTCCATTTGTGATAGTATCTAGGCTACCTTTAACCTCCGCCCCAGCTTCACTGCCTGCTGCTGCTTTTCCTTCCATCTTTGCTTCTATATTCTGGAACTCTTTTGTTTGTTATGATTTCCTTTACCACCCGATATAGCTTGGTAAGTCTTGAGATAGCCATGCTCTTCCACCTCTACAAGGCATAGGTGAGCAGTTCTTTTTTACATTCCGTCTCCATGCCTCCCCTGCCATCCTTCCCTACAAATCCCCCCCACCCACCTTTCTTGTGTGCAAATTCCCAGTTGTTTTTGTATATTCAACTTTAAAATATTCCATACTTTCCCTGCAATTACATCCTCAAGCTCCTTGTCCCAGCTGGCTTCCCCGTCCGTTCCATTCTCCGCACTGACCTCTTCGAAACGGCGAGCCTTCATGCTAGGGCAGCTTCTGCACAGTCCTCTTTGTGCTGGAAATTCAGGCTGTGGGCACGGAGGAGAAGCCATTTTATGTTCTCCATCCTGACAGAGAGGATGTAGGAACATACATGGTTATGCCGAACACTGTGTACGTCACTGAAATCACTTACACCCTATGAGGTGAGGCAAGGGCGGAAACAGCAAACATTTCACATTTGCCCTAGCAAATGTATAGCAGACAGCTTAAAAAAGGAAACCCACAACAGAACTTCATGTGACCATGAGCTCACTAAGGCTGCATTGCCTTCCAGATGCAAGGTCACTACATCTAACTGCTGAAACTGTTTGTTTTCAAATGCATCTTCAAGGGTTGTTCTTTATTGCCACTATAAACTCACGTTAACTGTTCAGCCCCATTCTGGGCAAGGCTGGGTTGGACATATGGTATTAGCTTGAACAATGCAAGTGTAGACAGGACATTATCTGCCAGTAACATGGCACCCTCTGTTTTTAAGACAATCAAAAAGCACAAAATCCAAATTTTTCATTTATGGCATGGTATGTGAGCAATGTACCATCCATCTATGCAACAGCCATTGCAGCCGCTAGAAACAGAGCAGTGGAAACCCAGGCTCCAGGTAAGAGGAAAATGCAACAGTGGCCTATTTTGATTTTCTGTCCTAAAGCAGAAGAAAATAAGGAAATTGGCTGGGTCCGTGATTGTTACCCAGGCATTTTGCAATGGGTGACTGTAGTGACTTCAAGTCTCTGCTGCTGTGTCAATTCATCGCTTGTGTTTAACAGGAAGAGCTGGCATCTCCAATTTTCTTTGGAACAGAGCGAACTGCACCGCACAAGGATTTTTGATTTGCTTTAAGGCTTCTAAGTACACTTACGATTATTTGGCTTCTGGAAGCCTTTCAAGTAGCATCCCACATGTCTTGTCTCCATAAATGGACCAGCCTGGCCTACTGCACGGCTGCACCCCGCTGCTCCGCACTTACTTAGATCACACGTAACTTTATTTAAAAAAAAGGCAAGTAAGCCAGGTAATGGTGCCAGGTATCTAAGAGAGATACTCTTCCTTCCCTTCATATTTGGGACTTGACAGTCTCTTCGGATGGCTGCTGGTTCAGTTCCACTTGGAAATTAATTTTCAAGACGTAGACATCTGCAAAACATCACCATTTTTTAAGGGAAAAACAAGGAAAAGGAGACAAGCCCAGAATTGGTCCCGCTGCTGAGATATGGCAAAATGCAACAAAAGTGCCTGAGGACAAAAAAGCTGAACAGAACCTCTCCAATAGTTTCTTGGAAAGCAATTATTCATATTTCTGCAGGAGATAACACCAGAGAATGTGGAAGCAGTACACTAGGTCATCACAGAGAATAAAAGCTTTTGCAACCTCCTGTTATTTTTCAAGGCAGTTTACGCTAAGGTGCAGGGGTCACAGCAGAGCATGCAAGGCAAAGATAAAGTTCTCTCTAGACATAAACATTGTGAGGTCAAAAGCATCGCTCACCCTGTGACTGCACATGGCAATGCAGTCAAGCCACTCTGAAGTTTGAGAGGGACCAAGGAACCTACAAATAAATAATGATAAAGAGCATCTATTTAAAATACTGCTCACTCCCATCAATGAGCCATGAAGACAGACATGGAAGGAATGGTTTTTAG